TGAGCGATTTTGATGGCCGTCTCGCGCTTGTCGCCGGTCAACATCCAGACTTGGATCTTGGCTCGTCGCAGCTTTTCGATCGTTTCTGGGACGCCTTCTTGCAACTTGTCCTCAATCGCAGATGCACCAAGGAGGTCCAGGGACTGCTCGATCAGCTCACCGGCCGCTTCGATGCGGTCTTGGCGATCGGTTAGAGAGGTCGTCGCTTCCTGGTACACTTTCTTCCAGTTGCAGTAGTCTTCTGGACTGATGAACTTATGCGCGAAAAGAAGCGTACGCAGGCCTTCAGTAGCAAAGTCGTCGACATGCTCCAGGCAGCGGCTGAGTGAGGCAGAGTGGTCGTCCACCGGGAGGTCATCGAGAAAAGTGGACAAGGGTTGCTTGGCGGTTTCGAACGAATTCATGCAGTCAGTTCTGTTTCTTGGTTCCGGTTGTCGAGTCTTTTGCTGCAGTTCAGGCTCGATTTCATCGCTTAGTCTATCGGTCTTCTGACTCAAGGAGGATGCTTGTCGGAGACGCGGTACAATCATGTTGTCTGCGCCTTTGCAAATGACCCATATCCTTTGATTCGGACATCTTACGATAATGGACATCCGTTTCCTTTTACTGCTAAATTCGACGATATCAAGGACCTCATACACTTGTTGGCTTTCATGGTTGTCCGCATCCTTCAGGAGCAGAGTAATAGACTTCGATGACCGATGAATGAGAACATAGCCGAGATCTCGGGCCGCTCGAACGAGGGCAAGTTCATCAGGCGAGGACGCTTGGAAGTCTACAATGTCATTGCGGACCTCAGGGAGGCAAGTATGACACAGGGCCATGGCTAGAATAAATTCACGCACCTTCTGAGAGAATGGAGATGCGGGGTTGATATGAATATATTCGAGGAGCTGAGTAGTTGTCCGTTCCGGTGGAGCATGATCCCGCCGGCCAGCGGATCTCCACGTTGAGAAAGATGGTCTCGGCTTATTCTCGACCAGAGGAGAGACGGATGTCTTGCTGTCTTTGTGCGTCACTGTATTCGTCATCGGAAAAGATCCAACTTTTCCGAGGCTGACATGGTCCTCCTCAAGGCGCCTCGGCTCCTCCCCGGGTTTCAAAGCCTGCTCACGCTCGCTTTTAACGTGCATGTCATGCAACCAGGCGGTGCCAGCAATACTCATCTTGCGGAATCTCATAATATTCTGGGTCAAAGTTCCCGTCTTGTCGGACAAGATATAGCTGACCTGCCCCAGATTCTCGAGAATTGTGTTTGTGTTGCATCTCATTGGCGTATCGGAGATGTTGTCGTACATCTCGACGTCACTGTTCAATAGGAGGGCTTGTCCTACCTTCACAATCTCGAGACTCACGTATAAAGCCAACGGAATAACATTATTGAATGCGATGGCAAAGCCAATGATAATGGCCTCGAAACCGACCGATGCGTTATTCAAATACCACGAATATTGTTCGGTCGATCTCTGCCACATCAGATAGCCCACTGAACAACCGACGGACAGGAGTATCACGTAGGCAATGAGCGTGAGGACAATTCGGTTGGCGGACTTTTCGATTCGCGGCTTCTTTGCTTTGGGGTGGTGATTTGCGTTCATTCGGATCTTGCATTCTTCTCCCGTATTGATCACCATACCAATGACAAGACCCGTGTTTCTCAGGACGCTGCCCCGATAGATCACCTCATTCAAAGTCAGCGGCAGAGTCTCTCCATCAACAGTAACGCTGCCGTTGAAGTCATGTAGGTTTAGATTTGGTTGCTCGACCACGAACGTCGCTTCCAAGGATCTGATCCCGTGGATTGTGCTGCACGAGCTTAGAGAGGGTAGCGCTTGTCGGCTCTTCAAGCTCGTTTCTCCATCCAGTGCCATTGTTTCGATATACGCGAGCCCATTCTCTCCATCGGCATGTAGCAGGACGATGTCAGCAGGTACCACCTCGTCCCGTTTGATTCTCATAATGTCGCCAACTTTGATGTCACGCCATTGGACCTTGGTCCAGCGCAGGTTGTCTTCAGTCATTTCATACTCTTCGATAACTTCAGTCTTTGGCTTGGACGCCGAGGGAAACGATTGGATTCCAGGTATTCTGTGGGATATTCGTCCATGTCCAACGTGATGACGGTAATCTCTTAGTACGACGGCGCTGCTCGTATTTTCCACCTTATCCAGCCGGTGTCTTCTATAGTCGTCGTAGCCTTCCTTTGCAACCTGCAAAAGGATGAAGAAGAGAAGAGGGAGGATGGTCGTATAGGTTCCAGTCGTACTCAAGCCCGGGATGGCTTGGGGGATCCCGATACAGAGGAAGTAGAAGTTGCCCAACCGCGTGAATTGGAAAACCAACTGTTTCGGGAGAAAATCGTACATGGTATATCTCGAGGACCGGATGGTATTGGAGATGTACGCATGGCCACTCCGCTCATCAATGTACGGCCTGTCTGGGACGGCCTTGAGGAGAATCCGGCGACCATCTTGGACAGAAGATAACGGCCTCTGTCGTAATATCCACCGAAGAATGTATACTCGGTACCACACTAGCGCGCGTTTGAACCAGTCTTTCTGCTCATCGTCGCTGGATGGCAGTGTTCGGATAGATTTCCCCGTGATGATGCGGGGTTTCCTAAGAGCTGCCTCGTTCACAGGTTCTCGCTGTGTTCATCGTGTCGTGGAGAGGCATAGAGGGACCATGGGATCAACATGGACAGAATGTATGCAGGGCAACATAGTCTTATGGTCTCGCTCTCGTCCGATCGAGCAAAGCGACTGCTATTTGAACGGTCGAGCTGTTGTTGTGCAGCTCCTTGTTGTCCGTCGTCCACAACTGACAGGTTCCATTCAGTATGCCCCTCTCGGAAATTGAAGCCAGTACATACAATTGATTCATGTTGGGTAGGCCTCGGCCACATACAGCACGTGGTTGGTTGGTTCGTCCCGGCATGCCCGGCAGCCCGGCTTGATGTTCTGCTAGGGGCAGTCTCCACCAATTATTATCCAACATCAGATCAGGCGCACACGGATTCCACACTAAAATGAAATTCTGGGCATTAGTGTAAGGGATAAGTTCAGTGAGGGTTAGGTTTAAGTTTAGTGGTGGTTTGGTTATGCAACTCTAGTTAAGGCGCATAAGAACAGTCATCGAAAAATAAAGTCAGCAAGGGGGGTGACAACATAACAATGCAACCAGATCTAGAACCAATCCATTATATATAGGTAGCTATAGTCTACTATGATTTTTACTATAGGTGCCCTTTTCCCTGTAAGCTATATACCACGCGAGCAACTGAAGGACAGGGATCTAACCAGCTATCGTCCACTGACCAATCAAGATAATCCCGGTCGGTCGCTTTTAATATCAGTTCTAAATCTTCATAATGATCCTGATACGTTTTGTCGGCATGTTTCTCGAAGTCGCCTTTGAAAAGATATGTTTGATGTCTGAGCCGAGTCAACCACACGCCCCAGTCTCAGGCAAGCCACAGTAGCCTCGCGCAATGGGCTGGAAGCACGTGATCTCCCTGTACTTCCCCCTTCTGAACAGTACTTGATTACAGTAGACTGGCTACATAAAAAAATCTACATAGGAATTGGAATGTATTGAGCGTTCAACGACCTCCATGGTCCTGGGTAGACTGGCTGTGGGGTGGATATAGGTTGACCCACAGCATGTCTGATCCAACCCATATGGATTATGGGTAAACCACCAGGTATCTTACCCACCCCTTATATCCACGGGGGTTCAACTATGGATACTATGGATATCTATACTATCTAGTCAGGTGACCTCTAGTATTTAGATTACCCCCTATTTTTTTAGTATTCTAGCCACACCACTAGGATATCTATATATTTAATAAGTAATATAAGAATAGATTAGTATAAATATTATATATTACCTATTATATAAGCTAAAATAGGCTTATATAGGGGAGTAGGGGTCCCCCCAAAGCTTAGGTTAAAAGGTAGTGTAGAGATATATATATCTTACCCTTACTATCCTAACTACTATCCTCTAAAATCTAAAAACTACTATAACTCTAGCCTTTCTTAGTAGATCTAATATTTATTTTATATATAGATAGATATGACTATTCTCTATCTATATATATAAAAATATCCCCCTATCTAGGCCTAGATCTAGTTAGATAAGCTTATTAGTTTCTAGAGGCAGCCCTTATCCACCCAAACAGTGGATTGGGTGGGGTGGGTGTGGATTTGTGGGTTGGGTAAGCCAGTCTAGTCCTGGGTGGAGAATCTGGATGAGAAAACACCCTAATACTTCCACTAAGAATAGATATGAGAAGAGACCAACTGCAATTACCCTACCTCCCACATTCACCGTTCTCACCCCCATTCAGGAGACCAGAAAAGCAGCAACCACCTGTTTCTCCACTGTGTTGATTTATAGGATAGGTATAGAGCTTATGGCTTCAATGTGGTTAGAAGGTAAGTGGGTGCTGCTGTCTCGCAACACTGCCTTAAGTCATGCGACCGTGGGTCAGTAATAGATGAGGTCTCTTTCAATCACCCACATTGGTCAGAACTACCTAACCAAATTGCCCTCTGGCTTTAACGGTGCTTAGTAGTCTTAAATACAACTATCAAGGACATTGATGTTGCTTAGTGTTATGTTTTTCGACTAGTCTGTTTAGGCTCCAGTGATCTGAGAGTGACTGCCTAGTGACTCTGAGAGGGAGTGTTGTGAACTGTAACTAGGTATACCATTAGAGTTTTGGATATGGAATAGGATAGGTCTCGTATAATTGATTTCTAATCAACTGCATGTTTGTATTGTATATAAACCCTCCGCCGTACGGAAGGAATTAAGAACAATCAATCTTCCTCTGAATAAACTTTTTCCTGCCTACTTCTGCCTAAGCCGTTCCATTATTAGCCCCTCAGCTGGTTATACACTCATATACAGAGGATTGTCTACTTAATCAACACCTGTCTCCCGGTCTCCCTCTTCGATGAGACGTTTCCTCCAACGAGGCTGATAGACAAATGGCAGCCCCAGAATCTAAGACCCTAACGGCATCCTGCCACTGCCGCAACGCAAATTTCTCTCTCACTATACCCAAGAGTGACCTGCCACTCAAGGTGCATGTCTGTCACTGCTCCATCTGCCGTCAAACTCACGGAGCGCTCTGTTCATTCCATGGCCCTGTTCCGTCCGGCATCGAACCGCAGTTCATCGCGCCTTCCGGACTCGAGAAGTTAACCGGCTATGCGCATCCATATTCACAATCAACACGGTATTTTTGCACTAATTGCGGCTGTCACATCGGCGACCGTGACCATGACAACGGAGATTGGTACATCTCTGTTTCGGTATTCGACGCCAACGCTAACGAGGGGTTGTGGGAGATTGGCTCACATGCTTTCACAAACTCCACCCGGGATGGTGGAATGTCTGAACTCATTCCTCAGATCAGGGGCCAGACGGTCAAGGTGTGGAATCCGCAGGAGAGTCCGGCGTCCGAGGAATTACCAGTGGTTCCAGCGAGTGAGGACGATCAATTACTTGCCCAATGCCACTGTGGTGGCGTTTCGATGACCATATCCCGTCCTCACAGGGACTACCCGGTCGGCTCTGCAGGCCGTAAATGGGTGCATCCATCCGATATGTCGAAGTGGCTTGCGCTTGTCGACGTCTGTAGGGACTGTCGCTTGCTCACTGGTACCCACGCGATTGCGTGGATATTGGTTCCGACGGACCACATCTCGCCGTCGCTACCAGGAGACCTTCTGATAGGGTCTTCGAAAAACTTCTTGTCCAGCGAAGGGACTCTAGGTTCGTTCTGCGGGACTTGTGGTGCAACCGTGTTTCGTAGACACATGAGTCAGCCAGGTATTGTTGGTATTGCGATGGGTTTGCTACGTGCATCGGAGGGTGTGATGGCCTGTGATTGGGCTTGTTGGAGGACGACTAAACTAGAGAATTTGGATGAAGGAATGAAGTATGATGAGTGGTTTACGAAAGGATTAGAGAAGGGTCTGGTTGATTGGAGGACTAGAAAATATGGTAATATACAGGATCTAGCAGTGGAGTTAGAGGATTATGAGTCTTGGTGTGAACATCAATTTATAAGGTGAAATGGATGCTCTAGTTTATGTTTATACTGTGCAGTCTCTTCAGAGTAACCCTTGAGGTGCGAGAGTAAGGAACGTACACAGCCCCAACAGTGGACCTTTTTTCGGACTTTCTCTGTTCTATCACTTCTCGCCAGGAGGGTGTGAGTACGTTGGGGAAGTAGGATGCTCTCAAGACACAGATAGGGACCTTTAGAGACAGAACGAAGTTGGAGTGCCTATGACAGGGACACGTTATGGGAGTTTATTACTTGCCTTACTTATAACCTGTGAAGGTGATTGAATGATTGCTTCATGGGCAGGTCTAAGGTTTGGAACTTCACACATTGTCATATTGATAACAATCTGTGCCAAGAGACTGCCCGGTGCTTCTGTTATACTGAGGTTAACTGAGCATTTACTGAGGGTGGCTATTAGCAGCAAGAATGGTTAACAAACTCAATGTATTCTATGCATTTCAGGGTATATTTTTGTGTATACTCTCTGTCTATGTCTTCTTGGGTTATCTCTAACATTATTTAAGGCGTCAAATTTGTATTGGACAGACGGAACGCCCGACGCGTTGGTCAACCACAGCACACCATCACTGGATTCAGGCATGCAGTGTATCCTTGGGGGGGACAAAGTTCTCAAAAGCTGCATTCTGAATGGCACTTATGGCAACAGGGAGTCCTCGCCAATTCCGACTCGCGCGACACTGATCTGCGCCAGCTCAGACACAGTAGGGTAAGATTGACTGTAAGTGGTAATCTGAACTATCGATGGGTCGCAGCTAGAGATCCCGCGGGATTCTACTTTCTCTCTTCAGAGCACAGCTTTGCAAATCTTGCAACCTTCTGAATCAAGCCTTGAAGACAGCCCATATCCCTCCCGGCCACTGTAATCGTAGCAAAGCTCGACCTGCTGCTATGCACCCACGCCGTAACTAACAAACAGCCATCCTTCAATTCCTCCTTGAACACCCTCTCAAAATGCGCCCGTGTGCAGTTCAATCGCCGATTCGCCAGGGCTGCAGCCTCGACGAACCCACGCCGAGTAAAATGCCCCCGCAACGCGCGCCCAAGTGATAAGTCCCGGTGATACGCACATTCAGATCAACCACCAGTTGAGTCCCGTTCTCATCTGTCATGACGTCCACGCTAGCAGGTCCGAAGTAACCCTTGTCGTGGAGAAACTGTGCCACGGTGTTGATTGTCCTTCGGTAGTGGCTTTCCAGCGCGGATTGCTCATTATATGAAATGAACCCGCCGGACCAGCGGTACGCATCGTCGACTTCCTGTCTGGTACAGCAATTGAAGAGTGCCCGTCCGGTTTTCGTGACGAAGAACGTGAGCCCGACGGTGTCGCCGGTCACCATCTCCTGGAGAATCAAGTTACAGGGGCGAAGGTGCTCGTTCGATGGTGTCAATTCAAGGAGCATGGATTTTACCTCGTCACGGAATAGTGTATCTACTGCCGTTTGGTCGCTTTTGGTGCGTATAATAAACGTGTTTTGACCTATACTTGTCACGCGAGGGACTTTGAGGATAAACGGTAGGCCGTGGTCGCGGATTGGCTGTGTCATGCGAGTGATTTCTTCATGGAGGTCGCGGTCAGTAAATGGATGACTGGGGGAGAGCACGGTGTCGATGACGATGGTTCTGGGTGTCGGCAGCCCCGACTCTGCAAGTCCGCGTTTGGAGAGGAGGTTATAGTGCGCACTGGGGTCGATGGTGTGTGGGAGATGGGTGAGCCAGTCGAGCGGGACTGTGACGGCGAGCCGTGATTTAGGGCTCAGGACGAGGTCTTGCGGATGGCGGGTGTATATAGGGAGAGGCCGTTGATGGGGTGGCAATTGATTAAATACTTCGAGTATATCGCTATGGTGACGGGGGATGGTGGTGGCATGGCCATGGTCAGGGTCGAGGTCGAGGTCGAGGTCAAAGACGATGATACGCATCGGACCAGAGAAGAAGCCGAAGCGCTGTGCAGTAGCATGAAAGAGAATCTGCGCTAGCTCTTCTTTGCCATGGGCCGGACATAATGGTGCCTGGACGGGGTATCTGGTGAGAGCTGGTGTAGAAGACGTGGGTTGGGTGTTGGGGGGTGGCGCATAGGCGTAGACAAGTGATATTTCTTCGCCCTCATTGTCTATGGCGTATAGGTCGTGGAGGGTGTAGTCAAGAATGACGGATCCGGGGGCATTCATGGTGAGATGGCTAGTTGGAACGGGAGGGATCCGTCTGAAGGTTTATTAGTACTGTCTACATTCGCTGACCGCTTCTTTAGTTGACATGAGCTGTCACCTGCATGTTGGATGATGCCGGGTTTACGGGTCAGGATCAGTCGGGCGTGGATTTGGCATATGTAGCTACGCCGGGAATTACTTACAGTGGAAGAGAAGGCCCGGGCTAAAGGCAATTCTAAGCCGGTACGATAGATCCTTTTCCTGCCAAAGCTGATACCTCCTTGTTTCACCCATGATCAGCCCTGGAACCCGCACTTGATGGGCAGAAGGCACCAAGAAAATAGCATTCAGACTCTCTCAAGTGTATGATTTCTCTACCTTGCTTGACGGAAGGATGTGGTTATATACCCCAGAAGATTGACTTGAAGTGATTAATTAGAGGCTTGATCTGGAGGCGTTACATCCCAACTCGTAACTGCCATCTTAGATCAGCTGTTCCCCACAGGCATTTTCCCGCGGTACCTGGAGACGACTCTAAGGTCGATGTATGCTGACCGGTATCACCAACTGATGGGGGCAATCTGTGAACATTCACTCCCCTTGGAGCCATGGAAATGGCTGGTGGCTACTTCATCTGTGTCCAACTGTCAGCTCCATTGCGCGCAAGCGAACTGCAGGAGCAGAAGGTGAGAGTGGCAGCTGGCAATTTGTTTCAGGTCCAGGGTGACCCATCTGCTGGTCGTGATGACTTTGACCGTGGCATCCGACTTTGCTTTGCTTGGGAGCACGAGAATAATTTGGCGGAGGGAGTGCGTCAACTTGCATGTGCAGTGAGCATTGCATTAGGGCTGAAGGGGATAAGAAACCATCCCATGCAGGGTTCTTCCTAACCAAGAGTAGCAGTTCAACTTCTGGCTACCCTTTACAACTCTAGCATGGCTCCTTATAGCATGGTCCTGGTCTTTGATACCTAACAATACCATCCTGCCTGCTTATATTCAGATAAAATCTTCACAACCCCATAATGGCAGAGATGTTCAGCCCTGGACAATGGTGTAGCACCCCAACGATCTTGTATATTGACATCAACTTGACTAGTTTTAAGTAACAATTGTACCACTTCCTCACTCCCACTAGATGCAGCATGGTAGAAAGGTGTGCAGCCCTGTGAGTCCTGTGACTCCACATCAACCTGCCTAGTATCAAGTAATAGCTCTGCTATTTCAGCATAGTTATATGATGCTGCCAAAGCTAATGGTGTTCGGCCCTGTAAATCCTGAGAGTCTGGATCAACCTGCCTAGTCTCAAGTAACAGCTTCACTAGTGTTACATGCCCTTCTATTACTGCGTTTGATAATGGGGTACGGCCATATTCATCCTTTGAGTCCACATCGACCTGTCCAGTGCCAAGCAGCAGCTTCACGACCTCCTCATGCCCATGTTCTACAGCCCAAGAGAAGGGCGCGTAGCCTTCAGAGTCCTTCAAGTCGATATCAACTTGCCCAGTTTCAAGTAACAGTTTTACCACTGTCACATGGCCGTTCTGCGCAGCCCAGGATAGCGGTGTGCGCCCTAGGGAGTCCTTTGTGTTCACATCAACCTGCTTAATTTTGAGAAGCAGTTTTACCACTGCTACATGCCCGTGCTGTGAAGCCAAACATAAGGGTGTCCAGCCAGTGTTATCCACCACACTGATTTTAGCTCCTTCTTGAAGACTCAATCGAGCTGTGGCCTCTTTTCCATGTTCGGCGGCCCATAAGAGCGCAGAACTCTGGGAATGCGTGGAGTTGTGCCGGTATAGAACTGGATTGAAGAGAGAATAGAGCCAGTGGTTTGTTTGACACAATGAGTTGATATCCCCTGCCTCAAGGAACGGCAGTAATAATAGCAGTATATCAGTGGGCGTATGCAGAAGAGCCATTGTCCTTTCAACGCAGGAACATAGTTGGTAAAACATGGATCCGGTCAGTTAACTTGGTGTTATGGAGGACGATGTCAGTTGTGGAGTCAGAGTAATCTCATCACATGACATAATTCAACATATTAAATTGTCTGAATATGAGATTTCTCCCAGTCTAATCTATATATGTTCTAGCAGATCTTGGCCATTGAGTTGCAACTGAAGCTGTGGGCCTCACCTCTCACGCATTCAACACAATGTCACTGTCTCAAATATGTTCCAACAAAGATAATTTTACCATATCCAGGACATGGTCTTACTCTTGCCGATCATGTCGATCACCTCAGCTTAGGGTTAGATCTTAGGACACAGTAAGATGAAATACGTAGCAATTTCCCGTGCACAACAATGTTCAGCTTCACATTCTAGATTCATTCTGGATATACATGATTTTGCTGCTTGAAGACATGAACCTCTTACTACATTTGGTGATAAGGCGTGAAGTGTACATCCAGAGTATGGATGCTGCTTTGTTATAATTCTAGGTCTTGGTCTATGATATATGTGGGTATAAGATATATATTGTAGAGGAACAAACCACAAGGGTATTATCAAAAAGCATCCGCAACCAGGACCGCATCAAATATATCAACTCATCGACTTCATACGATGCTCAAATACTTGCTGAATTTCTTCTTCAAAGCCGCCAGCAGGACCGGCTTCGCCAGGTAGTCATTCATCCCCGACGCCAAACACCGCTGCTGATCTCCCTGGATCGCCGACGCTGTAAGCGCGATAATGAGTATCCGCCTGACAGCGTCCATAGGATGCTGACGCAGACGCCGCGTGGCGTCATACCCGTCCATGACGGGCATCTGAACATCCATCAGGATCATGTGATATGGTTGGTCCCGGCTGGCTTGCCTCTGGATGCCCTCTACGGCTTCGAGGCCGTTGTTGTAGGTGTCTATCCGGGTAAAGCCTAGTTTCTTGAGGAACTGGACGGTGATCGTCTGGTTGATGAGGTTGTCTTCTGCGATGCAGACGCGGAGGTCTTTAAGGCGGACATTAGCTAAATCCAGCAGTTCCAGGGGTGGCTGTTGGTCGATCACGCCCGGGCTGCCGTCGCTGGACCGCGTCGGTGTAGTACGTCCCGAATCTCCCGGGATCGCCTTGGGAAATGTGACTGCAAAGGAAACGGTCGTTCCGACATGCTCGGTGCTTTTGAGGTCGACTGTGCCGCCCATCAATTCCACCAGAAGTTTGCAAATACTGAGCCCTAGTCCGGTACCCCCAAACCGGCGCGCGGTACTGGCATCGGCTTGGGTGAAGGGTCTGAACAGCCGGGGGATGAGTGCAGCGGGGATGCCAATCCCCGTGTCGGCCACCCAGAAGGAAAGACGGACAGACTCCTCGGTTTCATGTTCCGCGCGGGCTCCGACAGTGATGGACCCCTTTTCCGTGAATTTCAGACTGTTTCCTAGCAGGTTTCCCAGGATCTGTCTCAGGCGCACGGGATCACCACATACGTGACGGGTTTCCTGGAGTTGAATGTCATGCACAATGTGGACATCGCTCGACCTTGGCCCGTTCTTGGAATCGGTCGGGATCGAGCGAACGACTTCCATTACCATTCTCTCGACGTCGAATGGGACAATGTGCAACTGCATCTTGTTCGCCTCAACTTTGGAGAAGTCGAGGATGTCATTAATCACGGCGAGGAGCAGGTTCGCCGACATGCGGATCGACTCGGCCATTTCCAACTGCGCCTCGGGCAGTGGACTACTGAGTAAGAGTTCAGAGTTGCCAATGACCCCATTCAGAGGAGTCCGTAGCTCATGGGAGATATTAGCGAGGAAGCTGCTCTTGGCCTTAGCGGCCTCTTCGGCCAGTTTGGCGTGATGCAGGGCCTCCGCCTTGGCCACATTTGCCTTCTGCTCGGCCGCCATCGCTTCCGCCAGGGCCTTCTTCTGCGCCTCAACCATGGATTGGTTGATCGTGGACACGCGTTCGACTTCCTGGAGTGTCAGCGCATTGGAATAACTGATCCCGAGCTGCACCACGAGCAACTGCAAAACGACCCGCGTGCGATACGAGAAGGCGTTCGGTGGACCCTCCAGATACAGCACCACATTGGGTCCACTCTCGTCGCCGCCGGGCGAAATGGGCAAGGCCATGACGGATTTGCTGACCGGGTTCTGCGCGACCCAGGTCTCACTAACGTGGCTAAACCGCGGATCCTGCAGGACATCTGGCAAATAAGCCGCTTCGCGGAAGCGTACGCAGTAGTTGACAATGCTCTCGGCCACAAGATTGGATTGGCGAATCGGAGTGGGAGGATTATGTACTTTGATATGTCCGGCCGCATTCCCACTGGCCGCCACTGCCCACCCGACCTTCTCCTCCTCGTTGGTGACAATGGCTGCTAGGGTAGCGACACCATGGCAGCTTTGCATGATGATCTTGCACATGGTACGCAGCAGCTCATCCACCCGGAGAACGCTGGAAATCACCTGTGACGCTTCCAGGATGGAGGTGAGATCCAATATGTGGAGGGCACGGTCCCCCACGGCATCTTCGATGCTGGAGGTGTCGTCGGTGTTGGTAGTGGTCACTCGTGGTCTAGTCGCTACAGTCATTTCTTCCGCGTCGGTTTGAGTAGCCGCCTCTCGTGCGTCCTTTACCCTTTGTTGCAGATCATGCGACTGCAGGATATGATCAGCGACCCCGGTGGCCCCCATCCGCCGATAAAGAGTAACTGCCTCCTTGAGAGCGAGAGTGCCTAGTCGGGAAGAGCCCTCGCGTATCAGATGGCCAGCCAACAGATGATGGACCAAGGCCTCTTCAAAAATAAAACCATGGGTGGAAGTATGATCTAAAGCCTCTTGGTAGAGGCGTAGAGCCGCGGCTTGATCACCTTCCATCTCCGCGACCTGGGCGCCGAGCATCTTAGACCACGCCAGATAGTTCACATCTGAAACAGCCTGCCACTGTTCGATCCTTCGCCTGAAATACCTCAGCATCCTCGCCAGGCCGACCATGTCTGCCTTCAGAGAGGGATCGAGCGACCGCCCGTCTACATCCGAGGCCGGCTGGGAGTAACCTGCCTGATAAGTGGCATCGAGCTGCTCCTGCTTCCGGACCCATACGGATCCAGCTAGAGAAAGGGAATGGAAGAACATAAGGAACCTCGTGTCCCGTGCAGACCATACAGCATTGATCTTTTTGAGGCAGGCATTTCCCAGTGCAACCGCCCGGCCGTAGTGCCCATAAAGGAACAATGGAGCCATTTCCATGCTTTCATAGAGCATGAGGGGACGGTCGCTGTTCTTGATCGTTGTCACCAGCCAATGCTTGTAGGCGGTCGAGTTGTGCTCCTCGCAGCTCATCACCCCCATAGGGTCGTGCGTGAATGTTTTCCCTTGTAGAGCACGGCAGACCTGGCATATTGCCATAAGGATCGTGCCGCCGGGGGTATCTGACTGCCAGTGAGGAATATCCTCACAACTGGAGACGCAAAAGTTCTCCAGCTCCGCTAGGTTTTCAAAGGCAAAGAATTTCGCGGTGGCCAGAAATCCATAGTTCAAGATCGTTGCAATCCGGTCACCGGCGCGGATGGCAAAATCCAAGGCCCCCTCCAATTGCCCAATAGACGACTGGACGGGATGTTTGATATGACCAACAAAGGTCGAGTATAGCGCGATGCCACGTCCCATGGTATTGGGATCTTTCCATTGCTCAATCAGTGCCAAGGCGAGGTCCCCACAATGACTGGCGAAGGAAATCGCACTGTCCCGAGAGATCGCAATCACAGCCAACTGCAAGAGTCCCATGCCGGCCTGGGGAAACGTACCGCGAGTGAGATAGGTATCGACCATGACCAGTGTCATCTGATAGAAGGTCAGCGTATCAGACCAGAATGCCGCCCGGGTGGCTTCTACGAGAACCGCACCGGCAGCAGCCAAGTTGGGATGCTCCACAGGGGTCTTTTCGGCGATGCCCTCCGAGTCGATCGCTGTAATGGCGTCGCGCAGGCGCCGGAATTGATTGTCGCATTTGGCGAAAGTCGGGTCCTCATCGATATCAAGACCCAAAGTCACGAGGCACGCTTTCAGCGCCTGGAAAGCATCGGTCGAGTTACCTTGCTGCGCAAGCATGCGCGACTGCAAGATCCACGCTGGGGCCTTGTCCACCGCGCTGCGCGCATTCGAGAGGATGGACTGCAGCAAGCGATTAGCTTCGGCGTGCTGTCCTTGGTACAGGTAGCACTCCGCAGCGGCGGTAAAAATGTGCAGCGTCTCGTCATAGCTCACGTCCTCCGAGTTGTCATCCCACATGTTATCCTGAAGCAGGACGATGCAACACGCATACGAGTCAATGGCGGTTGAGCGGTAGCCGGTCTTGTTGGCGGCTTTCGCATGGTCCACTAGGAACTTGCGGAAAGGCTGTCGTCTGGTCACGCAGCGTTTGATGACCGGGGCGGATTCAATGATGGCCGATGCCAGCATATTGCGGTACTTGTCATCGTGGGAATAATAGTGGAACAGCACTTGTGCTTTAATGAAGTTGACTTGGTCTTTGGCCTTTGTGTGGAACGAGGCTGCAATGTGCATATAACGGTTATACGTGAAAGAGAAGACGTCATGGTGCTTTGTGGGTGCGATCACGTAGGCTTCCATGGCGGGCTGAAGAGCTTGAATCATCTCCACCTCGGGCAAGCCTGCTTCAGGAGCCGTCTTATCGCCGCTGTAAAGCCTCCGCACCAGTTGAAAGGAGAAGGTCATTCCCACAGAGGATGCCCAGGCCAGGATTGACTTGGTGACAGGCGGTAAGCTGTTCAACCGAATGACCAAGAAATCATCGAGCACGGCCTCGTGGTAGTCGTCTGCCTTGAAATGATCCGAGATGCGGCGAAGATCAAACGACCACGATCCTTCCTGGTAGTCGTACCAGACGAATTTCTGTCGGTAGCAAACGCTCAACATTTCTCGGATATAGAAGGGGTTCCCACCAGTCCGGGATTGAATGAGCGCCCCCAAGGGCCAAATAAGAGGGACGGATAGATAGAGGGTATTTGCGACATATTCCATCACGCTGTCTTCGTTGAGTGGAGAAAGGGTGATGGTCGTAATACCCACGTCTCTTCCCTTTCGGAACCCTGCTGGTTTAATGAGTATAGGTTTATTTGGAACAAAACAAGAAAGGAGAAGGAAAAGGTTCGGGAAAGCTACCTTCATTGGTACAAAGATCTAAGATATGGTTGGTCATTTCCGAGGAGGCATTTTCAGGCCGGTAAGCCAGAATAACCACCATTCGGATCCTAGCGGAAACGATCTGAGCAACAAGCTCCAACGACTCTTCGTCCGCAAAGTGGACGTCATCCAAGCAGAGGCACAGCGGTTTGTATCGCGAGAAGGCTCGCAGAATATCCAGCAAGGTCCGGACGAGCGGCAAGGACTTGGTAGAGGATCCTGTCCGAAGAAACTCTTGGGAGCTCGGAGTCCCGGTGTGCCGGGAGGAGGATGGGACTGCGGCAGTAGCACCCTTCGACGCCCGGTCTGGCAAGTCGGGACCCGATCCTAGGAGGAATTTCGGAAGACCCAGAACCTTGTGTAGAGTGTTCCACGCAGACCCTATATGGTTCCTCAACATCGGCAGGAAGCTAGGCTCAATAGTATTCTCCGAGAACGCCTGCTCGAACAGGCTGGAAAATAGTTGCAGAACCGGACGCAAGCGTTCTTTGGCGGCAGGATCAAACCGGGAACTGGCAAAGAAGCCTCGCTGTCTGGCTTCAATCTGCACGGATGTGATCAGCCGGGTCTTGCCCAAGCCAGCGCCTCCCTCGATGGTGATCAGCTCGCATCGTCCTTTCGGCACCATCATGCGATGCGCGGCTGTCCTGCCGGCACTGTCGCTGGATCGGGAGCTTCCCTCCACACTGGCGCTGTCAATCGATGGAGTCGACAGTCGCTTATCCGCCGTCTTTGCGTCCGACCCCGCTGATACGGATTCGATGCTCTCGAACGAGCCGTACCGCGAGTCGGCAGGAGACCGCATACGGGTCGTATTGGCTGGATATGAGCGGCGGACGCCGCCTGTGGAGGCCAGCAAGTTGGAAAAGCCGTCCATCGCGTTGTGGCCATCCTCTTCGCCGGGGGTGTCGCCTGGGAAGGCCAAAGCATCGAACGTGGCGAATTGACCCTCGGGCAGCGACGACAGCTGTAGCCCTTTTCCAGCCTGGTACATCTGATACGTCCGGTCCAGAATCTCCACAATGGCATTCCGCTCCTGTGTCCGGCCCACCATGATGCGCGGCAGCGTGAAGAACGGAGAGACATCCTTGCTGCCAATTTTCCAGTTACCCAGTTCTGCGGCTTTAGCTGCTTCCTCTCCATTATTGCCCTCATCGTCAGGCACTTTCGTAGCCAGTAGCCTCCGCAACTCCACGAAGTCATGTCGCAGACCACTCACGGAATGGTACCGCTCCGAGACGTTCTTGGCGGTTGCTTTGGCGATCACTCGCGCGACGAGGTCCGGAACGTCCGGCCGCAAGCTCGATACCAGAGGAAGTTCCTCTCCCAACACTGCTCTGATGATTTCCATGGGGGTCCTGCCGCAAAACGGCGTCTCCTGGACAAGAGCGCTCCACAGGAGGATGCCCAGGGAATAGATATCGGCTCGACTGTCGGGCTGAATGGGCGTCCGGCCAGTTTGCTCCGGGCTCATGAATGATATCCTGGCCGTAGCACCGTCCTGGTTGGCAAGAGCGGAATAGGTTGCATTCGAAAGATCGGAGTGGCAACGCCTCCGACCAGCTCCAAGATGGATCAGCTTCACCTTGCCGGTCTCTTCACTGAAGTGAAAGGCATCCGCCCTGATCTCCCCATGGACAATCTGCTGGCTATGGAGGATTTTGATGCACTCCGCGGCGCCGATGGCGAAATCTAGAAAGGTGGACAGCGGCATCGGCTCGTTCCGATTGCGCCGCACTGAAATCGCATCATCGTCATCGTCATCGTCATCATCGTCATCACCATCGTCCTCGTCCTTGCCGTTATCATGATGATCCTCGTCACTTCCATCCGCTTCGGGAACGTCGCGATACCAGGTCGGGCTGCAGTCCACGTATTTCAACAAGTCATTCGGACCGGGGCTCTCGTAGATGCAGACCACCAGCGGTGGCTCGCTCTCTTGATCGCGACTGGGTAATCGCTTCAGCTCCAGGGGCCGCAGGAGACAGTTGTAGTGTGGATCGGCCACCGCGGCCAGCCTCCGGTACTCCTCCTTCGCTTTTTCTTCCTGATCTGGGCTCTCAGAAATACGCGCCACCACTTCCATCGCACTCTCCCGGCCTTTCTCCGCCGCTATACGGGCGTCATCGGGCGCAACACCATTTGCGCCATCGTTGTGTTGTTCGAGAGATGACACGGTTCGAGGACGGACGGGTAGAACATGACGCGACCTGGTGGTATCGACAAAGTGTTTTGTGCCGAAAATATGCCTACGCAGGATTAGCACGCGATATTTTTTTGGCATTACAGACGGCAACAATCTAGGTAAGTGGCTAACGCACCATACGCCATAGCTGGAGCGAAATTGCCTCGACTCATCCCAGGTATAGCCTGCTAGCCGCTGCAGCCTGTCCAGGAGATCGGTAGGAGGCTGTTGAGCCTCTCGGGGCATCACTGCGATTGCGTGGGGAGCCGATGGCTTGGGGGTTGACGGAGGATTAAAGGGATAAGGATCATTAACTGGGTGGATCAGTTGCCGATCTCATCATCATCATTTGCGCGACTGGTCACGTTGACTGGAAGATCAGAAGCATATCCTCCAACGTAGGCGCTTATAATTAAAGTAACAGAGGAATGAAAGTGGATGAGACGAGCAGTTCAGCAACGGCAATAATAGTCAGGTATATTGATAGTGCGATGTAGGGAAAACAATCGAGAAAAAAAGGAGGAACATGGAAGATGGCAGCAGCAGCAGCAGTTTCACAGAGGCAGAGGCAGAGGCAGAGGCAGATAGATGGTGGATGGCCGGAAGGTCTGGAATCTGGATGATGGAAAGGGCGCTAGGCCAAAGTGGGAAGTGGAGCCCGGGAGGTTAAAACAATCGGACAAAAACCGGTTTTGGCTGCTCCCTTCCATGTATCAAGTTATGCAGTCATTCATGGCTTGTGGTTTACAACTTTTACTTTTCAATTGCATTATTGTCTTCTTATTGAGTAATTTTTATGTTAGATGAAATGTTAATAACTGTAATAACTAATAAGGACTATCTGCTTGTCTCCGGGTTGAATGGACCCCCGCAAAGTAAATCTGACAAACTCAATTTATGACGTCAATCTAAGACTTTTATCGCGCTAACCCGTTCCTGGGACAAGCATGGAGAAGTGAAGTTTCCATGGATTTTATTGGCTGCAATAGATGTCTACATACAATCAAATCCAGTAATGACAATATCTTGGTTAGCTCTGGCAAGGTCCAGAACCCTCTCTCTCTCCCTTTCTCTCTAGCTCTACTCCCTCACAATCTCCCTCCCTCCTCTCCCTAACTATATAACTCCTAAGCTTCTTATGTCATGTCTCCAAGCTTGGTCTTCTCAAATATCAGCTTAGCCAGTCCCTAGCTATTATTGAATAACCAGCCATTGATCTGGCTCCTTTTTTTACTTTTCTAAACGCAGTGACTCTAGTCAATTCCCGCTCACAATGCCTGAGGAAGTGGCATACAAGCCGTAAGATACCCACTCTTCCATGTTTTCACCTCTCCCTTTCTTCTCCTCTGTTTTTCCTGTTCATGTTTGGTCATTATTTTGATAGATGACGACCAATGATTAGTCAATACGTTGCCAGTCCCTTTGACAATTCTACCTGACTGTGCATCCATCTACAGACTCCGCCTGGGATCCATCGCTCCCAACTTCCAGGCCGACGCCACCATCGGTCGTATCGACTTCTATGAGTGGATCGGCAACGACTGGGTCATCCTCTTCTCCCACCCGGAAGACTACACCCCCGTCTGCACCACCGAACTGGCAGACCTGGCCAGACACCAGTCCGAGTTCGCCAAGCGCGGCGTCAAGCTGATCGGCCTGTCAGCCAATTCGATCGAGTCGCACGATGGCTGGATCAACGACATCGCCGAGATCGCCGGCTGTTCGTTGACCTTTCCTGTCATTGGCGATGAGGATCGCAAGATCGCCCATACTTATGACATGTGAGTGGATTCCCTTCTTTTTTGTCTGCCGCCCTATCGAGCCTGATCACTAACACAGTCTGACCTGGAACAGGCTCGACCACCAAGACACCACCAACGTCGACGCCCGCGGCATCGCCTACACGATCCGCTCCGTCTTCATCATCGATCCCAACAAGGTCATCCGCCTCATCCAGGCCTATCCGGCCTCCACAGGTCGGAGCACCACTGAACTGCTCCGTGTCGTGGATTCCCTGCTTGCCGCCGACAAGTACTGCGTCAACACTCCCGCCAACTGGGAGCCCGGTGATGATGTCGTCGTCCCCGCGGGTGTCGCCGACGAGGAGGCCCAGGCCAAGTTTCCAAATATGCAGACCGTGAAGCCGTATTTGCGCTTCACACCCTTGGCTAAGGAGCATATTTTTCCGCATTAGGTGTTATCTTCCACTGTAGGTGTTGTGTCTGATGTCTCTCTTCTCGATGACTTGACCGTGCATTCTGCTACGTGAGACAGATGCTCGAGGCTTCAGCTGGAATAAATGTCATCCGTAGGCGTAATAGTATGATTCCATTTTCTGTCTGTTTCAAAATTATAACTAGCAGCATAAGGAACTTTCCCAGTGTCAACACTCATTCACTCACTCTATCTAGAACGAACTCTACCACTTGATTATCAGTCTTTAGTTTGGATTTATTGCTTTTGATGGGCTGTTGCATAGTATTCTTAATGTTACTGGCCTGGGTTGATCGACACTATATCTGATCGAGCCATGTGGATTAGGATTGCGGAGAATGGTATCCACAGCCTACCTATGTTTCTAGTATGCTAACCACACTAGTGATCTTGTAGGTTTTATTCAATGTATGATAATTAGTTATATCAATATTATTGCCTATTAAATAAGCTAAATAAGTTTAATTAGGGTCCTAGTGTCACCAATGGAGTCAAGATGAAAATGGTGTGGATATATATATGTCCAGCCATCAGTAGCTTGACCAGCACCATTAGAAATATATACTGCAACACAACCCTGATTTTTCATAGTAAATGTAAGCTTAGCAATGTGGCAGTAAATAAGGATAAAGGAGGCGTGAAAGTCATTCTACACCTCTGTATGCCAGTAAAGCATAGACTTGATGTTCTAAATGCCTTTGCAGGCTCCTTGTTATTTGTTCAGATCAAGACAGAGATACAATGAATTCATAATAGTAAATCAGTTCTCACCATCTATTATGTGACCAGAATCCAGAAACAAGCATGATCTAGTGTATGAACTGTCATTGATATAAACAAGGTGGCAACTGTATACCACTGTGACTATGTATATGCAACCCTAGACTAAGGATGGCTGTTAAATGACAACAGACCGTCCTTGTCATCTTGACTAACCATGGGCCCAGATGCTAATGGACTATAGTTGATCGTGATCGGTTGCCTCTCCTTTCTCCATCTTATGAGTCGGACAACAGCCCAAACCGCTATACATAATGCTACGACTGCAGCCCCCAACACCCACGCAGACACCTGGCTGACTAGCCGGTCAATCACCTGCTGGAAGAACGTGTTCTGCAGCTCATTCTTGTCCTCCACACGGAATCCATGGGAACCCAGGGCATACTCATCCGGCACTTCGGGCCACTTGTCGACTCCATCCAGAATGGCCATGGCCATGCCGTTGTCGAGATGCATCTCAAAGTGACAGTGCAGCAACCACGCTCCCGGACTAGTCACCTGGTACCGTAGCACCACCCACATCGTCCCTGTGAACTCTGTCAGGAAGGTATCACGGTAGGGTGGGTTGACCAGATTGAAGTTCTCTGGATGATCAGCGACGGCCTCGCCGACCGAGGAGTAGTTCCACAATCCCTGACCAGAACCCAGTCGCCAGAACTTATTGGCATGCTTGTGCACGGCGTGCGGGAAGTCAACCGGCCAGAGGGGCGAGTGACCCACCTGCAGGACGATATCCTGCCAGGTCCCATTCTGAGTGCGGATGATCAGGTCGTCATCGCGAGCCTGGGGAGAGTTGACGTTGTACAGCACAGGATGGTACGCCGACCGGTCCGAGGGGTACTTCTTCTTGCCACTCAGGGTGAATTCCCAGGTCGAGTTGGCTTTGCCTAGGTACAGGACGTGCATTGCGTCGCCGTCGCCGGTGAAGGGAACCTTGGGCGGCCAGGGCGGCAGATCGAATTTGTCCAGAAAGCCGATCCCGTCGCGGGTCGGCCAGGCGTTGTAGTCGAAGTAGGGCTGCGAGATGGTCGTGACGCCGAACCGATCGGGAGGCCGACGAGCGTCCGGGTCGCCGTTCTTGTACCGTAAGATCCCAAAGGCTGCGATCATCTGCGAGTAGCCACCGTCAGGCACGCGGATGGAGTAGTCCATTGGTTTCTTGTCGAGCCGGACCAGAGCCGAGTATCGCTCCCCGGCCCAGATCAGGAACGTGTCTGCGCGGCGAGGTTCGATGTAATGGCCATCGACCTCATAGATCCACATCTCGTGCTCATCGATCGTGGGCTGCAGGGTTTTGAAGGTCGAGCCTCCAATCCAGTTGATACTGACCCATCGATCGCGGGCATCGACCTCGATAGTCTCCGTGGGACCGGTGTAGGGAACGCAGCCCTCTTGTAACCCTGGAGGAATGGCGGAGACGTTGCCATCCTTAAGCCACGGGCCTTCAGTGGAAGGAACGAATGGGAAGCAACTGTGGTTGTCAATATTGCTCTTCTCAATCTGGAGGAGATGAAGCATGGACATACCCCTTGTCGGTGATGGTATCATTTGGCCAGCTCTTGTGCATGAACGGAATTTGCTTGTCAATGAGCCATTGATGACCAGGGCAATACACGCTCCCTTTTCCGTTGATCAAAATACTATCGACGCAGCTGGGGCGGTCAGCCTGTGAACTGAAGCAAAAGGATCCTTCTCATACAATATCTGGAGATTGCTGTTTGCGTCAGCCTCCTTGTATTGGGATGAGTTGTAGTAATCCCAGTCTGAGAGCATGATAATCCGGGGATCATTGGCAGCGCGTTCCATGGCTTGAATCTCAACTGGATCTTCGCTGATCATTGCCCACGGTCCTGGAGTCCCTGGCTTCCGTCTTGAGTGCGTTAGTATTGATTGTCGCAGAGGAATAGCACATGCAGCTTACCGGATAAAGAGCGCCCCGTAGAGACCATCCAACAAGGTGGCTCGCGAATGTGAATGGTACCTGACTCGATCAGCCCCAGTTGCTTTTGGGAGGCACCTAGTACAGACCAGTATTGACCGGGAGGATATGCAGTGAAGCGATAGACATAGCTCTCGCCGGGCTCAATAGGCGTTTGGCTCAGACCCGGAACACCATCGGACCACGGGGTATCTTGCATCCTGTCCAGTCTCATCAGATCTCATCATGAATCGTAGACTATGCGAGGATAAGGCTTACAGAATTCCATGCCAATGAATGGTGGTATTCTGGTGCATATGATTGTGGACGACGATCTGCAGGACTATAAGCCTTCATATTGCCAAAGTATTGCCAACTGATAAAGACGTACTTCCACATCGTCGCCTTCGTCGAAAATCAAAGTAGGCGAGGGAAACTGGCCATTTGTCCTGATCATTTGGCGACTTTGGCCATTGGGAGCACCTTCTTCCCAGGTCAGAGTCAGTTCGCGTTTGACATGCGCGGCAAAGGCAGTGAGCAAATGGCTCAAGAACAGGAACAGTATTGTGAAATGACGCTCCATGCCGAAGAGTAGAAATATCAAAAAGAAAGAAAGAGTTGAGGAGCAAGGTCGGATGTGGTCAGCACCACAAGAAAGGACGGTGGGAGAGCAGTTATGAACTGCTCGGGTTCGCGTCTGCAGGAGATGAGCCAGGAAAACTCGCTTGTCAAAATATTTGAACTTCTTTAATTGTAAGATTGTCTGAATACTTCTCAATGCGATTGGATTGAAACGAACCTCTTACATTGTATCTTCGGGGACCGAAGCGCCCTTTCGGATGTCGTAGCCGAGGGACAATCTCCTCACACTGCGGCAGGTTTCGGTTTCTGCATTTAATAATAGACTCAGCTAGGCCCTGAATCAGGATACAGCTAGAGTAATACAACTGAAACCTAAACCATGACGAAGACCCCTGCCCTCGAGGTCTTTGCCGATCAGATCAGTGCTGCGGCCAAAGTCATCACAGCCTTCTGTGCCTCCACCGGCCATCCACATCCATCCTTTGATGATACCCAACTCAATGGCCTCGATACGCTACCCTCGTCTGCACCAGCTGAAATTCAGGAGGCTCGACAGGTCATTCTCGAGAGCGCGTATCGACTCCAACAGCTCATCATCGAGCCCAGCCAGTACCTGGCACGATTAGCAGTCTACGTAAGTGGACAGACAATATCCAATAACGAATGAAATGCTAAAAGTAAATAGCCTCAGCATCTTGCCGCAATTCAATGGCTCTGTCACTTCAAGATCCCCTCTCTCGTCCCGCATGAGGGCACCATCTCCTACCCGGATCTCGCGGCCGCGGCCCACGTACCACTGCACCAGCTCAAGAGCATCACCCGCATGGCCATCACGGGGAATTTCCTTGGGGAGCCAGCCTTAAACCAGGTTGCGCACAACAAGACATCCGCGCGTTTCGTATCAAACCCGTCCCTGTGCGACTGGGCGCTGTTCCTGGCTGAGGACTCGGCACCGATTGCGCCCAAGCTGGTCGAGGCGACGCAGAAATGGGGCGAGACAACGAAGAAGACAGAGACCGCGTTTAACCTGACCCTGAATACGGACCTGCCCTTTTTCGACTATCTCTCGAGCTCTCCCGAGTTTACCCAGCGGTTTTCTGCGTACATGAAGAACGTGGCCAAGGGCGAGGCTACAAACATCAAGCACTTGGTTCAGGGATACGACTGGGCAAGTCTGGATAATGCCACTGTGGTGGATGTACGCCAACATTTCATATTTCATGTCCTGATGAAGCTTTGCATTTTCTGACTTGATGCCCAATAGGTTGGAGGCTCCAGCGGCCACGCCAGCATTGCTCTGGCCGAAACCTACCCGCAGCTGAGATTCATCGTCCAAGACCTTCCCATGGTCATTGAAACTTCTCAATCCCAGGTCCCTGACGCCGTGCGCTCGCGAATTACATTCCAGAGCCACGATTTCTTCACCCCACAGCCCGTGCGCGACGCGGATGTGTACCTGCTCCGTATGATCCTGCACGACTGGCCGCGGGAAGAAGCCCAAAAGATCCTGTCTCACGTGGCTGCGGCCCTTCGGCCTGGCGCTCGCATCATTGTGATGGACACTGTCCTTCCCAATCCCGGGAGTGTACCGGTTAGCGAGGAGGCGCTGCTGCGTGTGCGGGATATGACGATGATGCAGACGTTCAACAGCCATGAGCGGGGGATGGATGAGTGGGAGGAACTGGTGCACGCGGCAGATTCGAAATTGAACATCACCCGGTCTATCCAGCCTGTGGGTAGTGCGATGACCGTCTTGGAGGTTGGCCTGGGCCAGTAGCGATAGCCTCGGGTTGACCAGCTTCGGTCCCCGAAGGACGCACTAGTACACATGTTACTTAAGCAGAGACCTCTGTCAGGATCATATCCAGAAACTCCCTTGGGCAGAGTATCGAACATGGAATCAATGCCAGAATGCTCTCCATTAAGCAAGTTATCCTAGGTATCGCCTCTGTCTATCCCTTTACCGGGTATGACCCTCTATCTCCTGTAACGGTACTCGACCCCGGCTCTAACGTCACCTACAACGGCATCCGCACAAGCACCTATGTCGAAGAATTTCTCAACATCCAGTATGCCCACGACACAAGCGGAAGCCATCGCTTTTCTCCCCCAAGGCCCTATACCCCCAGCGCAAACAGCATAATCAACGCCACTTTCCCAGGAGCTGCATGCCCTCAGCCGCACATCCCCCTCCCCGCGGACCCATACACAGTCCTCGCCAACGTCTCAGAAGACTGTTTGACTCTCCGCGTCGCACGGCCAGCAGGCACAGGCGCGACGCAAAATGCGCACAAGCTCCCCGTGATGGTCTTTGTCTACGGCGGCGGCAGTACCGTGGGAACTGTCTACGACGGCTCCTACGACCCAGTCGGTCTTATCAGACGAGCCGTTGACCTTGGGACGCCGATGGTGTATGTAGCTATGAATTATCGACTGAATTGTACACCTTACCACATTATCCGTGCGATCCACAACTACTGACTGTCACCTAGTGTTCGGTTTCGCGGATTTGCCTGCTCTACGGGCCTCCAACTCGACCAACGTCGGTCTGCGGGATCAGCGCCTCGCGCTTGACTGGGTCAGGAGAAACATTGCGTTGTTTAGCGGGGATCCAGACAATGTGACGCTGTTTGGAGAGGACGCTGGTGCGGTGTTTGCGAGCCTGCATATGCTGGCATCTTCGGATGATGAGAGTCTGCCAGTCCATCGGGTCATTGCCCAGAGTGGTGCGGTTACCTCCCTTGCTGGTGTAACCGGGGATACTAGTGCGCGTAATTCTCTGGATGTTGCGAGGAAGATTGGCTGTCTTGATTCATCTGGGACTGCTTCGGAAGAAATAAATGCTACCGCCGTGGTACAGTGTCTGCGAGAACAACCCCTGGAGCTGCTGGTGAACAAGACGTTCGACGTGGCATACAAAGTGAGTCCGGGAGATGGTTTCGGGGCCTTGTGAGTTCTCGAACCTACAGGGAGGAAGAAAGACTGGATCAAACTCATTAGCTCTATAGTATACCCACGGTTGACGGCACAATCCTGCCTTCTGCTCCATCGGGGTTGATGGCAGCTGGTCACCTCCCGAATAAGAGCATTCCACTCATCATCGGCTGGAATCGCGACGAGGCCTCGCTCCACGTCCCAACCAGCATAACGACCCAATCGGACATTTCTAACCTCCTAGCTGGCAATTATCCGTCTCTCACTGCGTCGAGTATTGCAGACTTGCTCGCCCTTTACCCGGAGTCGGACTATCAAGTCCAAAAGGAGGAGAAGGGAGCACAAATGACCCCGGCTTGGCATGCCGCATCGGCCCTCGTGCGTGATCTGACAGTGACCTGTCCCTCACTATACCAAGCCGCGTCACTATTCCAGCATGCCCGGATCTCAGTAGAGGAACCGGAGATCTATCTCTACGAACTGCAACACACGCCATTCGCGGCGACTCTCGCGCAACAGGGAAAGGCGTATCTGGGCGTCGTCCACTTCTCAGACGTGCCGTATGTTTTCAACAACCTACAGAGTAGATACTATATCTCCGACCCGGCTGAGTTGGCGCTCGCGGCTCGGGTGAGCGGAAGCTGGGCTGAATTCGCATCGGGACGGAGACCGGGGAGCAATAGGACTTTGGGGGAGTGGGAGGTTGCCTTTTCCTCGTCAACCGATAGGGTACCAAGTCTAGAAACAGCGAGATACAGAGCGATTGGAGGGAAAGATGACGGGATGCGACAGGTCGGAAAGAAGCTGGCGCGGAGATGTGAGACGATCAACCGATTGGCGGGGGAGCTGAAGACTTGACGAATCGGGGTAAGATACCTAGACTGCTGTAGATGCAGGTTCCTGTAAAGTCGCGGACTTGCTAGCCTAATATGACTGAAACTATTGGCCCAGACGGACACCGAGTGATACCTTAGTCTCTTCGTTGTCCGAGCGGCCGATGTCATTGGCCATGTCGGGTCAACGCTCATTGGGCGTGAATTGCTTTGTTGAGGGATATCAGACGAGAACAAGTATTCCAAAACGAGGCCTTCCGCCTGTATAGACTGTCTAATCTCGATAGTAAGCATCACAATGGCTAGTGCACAGCAGGTTGACGTCGTTGTCGTAGGAGCTGGCTTCGGAGGGTTATGGATAACTCATACGTACTCTACTCCAATGGCATGAAGGGCGTCCAAAAGCGCATACTGACTTGTATAGACTTCGAAATGCCGGGCTGAATGTCGTCTGCGTCGAAAAAGCCCCCCAGGCCGGCGGCGTCTGGTATTGGAACTGCTATCCGGGGGCTCGAGTCGACAGTCGATACCCCGTTTACCAGTATACCGATCCGGAGCTCTGCCAGGACTGGACCTGGAGCGAGTTGTTGCCCGGATACGAGGAGCTCCGGCGGTACATTGCGTACGTGGTGGAAAAGTGGCAGCTGAACGGATACATACAGTATAACACCACGGTGACAGGGGCGCAATTCGACGAGTCGGCTCACCAGTGGACGGTCGAATGCGTCGGGGCCGATGGTTCCCCCGTAGCGATCCGCAGTCGCTGGTTCATCCTCGCTCTCGGCTTCGCCACCAAGCCGTATATCCCCGATATCCCAGGTCTGAACACCTTCGCCGGTCGATGTTTCCATTCCGCCGCCTGGCCGCAGGATGGGATCGACCTGGATGGTAAGAGGGTGGCCGTTGTGGGCACGGGAGCCAGCGCAGTCCAGATCATCCAGACTATTGCCGAGCGGGTGGGCCATTTGACCGTCTACCAGCGCACGCCGTGCACTGCGGTCCCGGCCCGGCAGCGCCCCCTCAGCCCCGAGGAGCAGCAGCGGCTGAAAGACAGCGGCGAGTTGGCCGCCCTGCTGCGACAGGCCAAGTACGAAAAGTTTGGCGGACAGGACGTTGGGTTCGTCCCGCGTCGGTGGCACGAGGATAACGAACAGCAGCGGCGGGAGGTGTTCGAGGCAGCCTGGGAAAAGGGCGGTTTCCACCCTTTACTGTCGACATACTTTGACGTCTTCGTGGATGAGGAGGTCAATAGGGCCGCGTGGCGGTTCTGGGCCGAAAAGACCCGCGAACGGATCAAGGACCCGAGATACAAGGATTTGCTGGCTCCCCTGGAGGCAGCCCATTTGTTCGGGGGAAAGCGCACGCCGTTCGAGATCAACTATTATGAGGCATTCAACCGAGACAACGTCGAATTGATTGACAGCAAGGCCTCCCCGATTGTTGAGTTCACCGAGGACGGCATTGTCACGCAGGAGGAAGGCCTCAAACGGCTCGATGTGATTGTGCTCGCAACAGGATTCGACACCAACACAGGAGCATTGACCGCAATCTCCATCCGGGACACGGCAGGGAGGACGCTCAAGGACCGCTGGCAGGATCCAGAAACAGGAGTCAGGACCAATCTGGGTCTGTCCACCAGCAAGTTCCCCAACATGTTCTTTTTCTATGGGCCACAGGCGCCGACGGCATTTTCCAACGGGCCGGCCTGCATCGAGCTGCAGGGGGAGTTTGTCGAACGACTCATCCTGGACATGACAGCCAGAGGAATAACAAGAGTTGAAAACACAGTGGATGCTGAGATGGAGTGGAAGGGCTTGACGCAGCGTCTGTGGGACCGATTTGTTTTCTCGTCGACGACTTCGTCGTACTATACCGGGGCGAATATTCCGGGCAAGAAGCGGGAGCCGTTGAACTTTTTCGGAGGGTTCCCCAGCTACCACCAGGCGCTGACCGGCTGTCGTGAGAATGATTATCAGGGTTACAAAATGGCGTCTCTCATGGAGAAGATACAGTCTGCCCCTGCTGCGTTGGAGGTTAAGGCTCCCAGTGTTGTCGAAACACCTGTCTTGGCGACGTTACCCGTACAAGCTAAATAGTTTCTACCGACAGTTCCATAGGAGTATAGGTTGATTGAATTTCAAGTACACGATCCAAACATCTAATAAGAACTTGGCTTATTGGACACATAACCCCCATCCACCAGCAGGACCAATCCGTTGCAGTACGCCCCAGCCTTGGACGCAAGATACACAATCGTCCCTCCAATCTCCTGGGAGTCCCCAAACCGCTCTTCTGGCGCCAAAGCCATGGGCAGCCGGCCGTTAGTCGCTTTGCAGAAGCCGCCCATCATATCCGTGTTGAAATCTACGTCAGTCAGCAAATCGCGCACTCGTCATCAAATCTGATAAAGAAGGAAAGAACATACACCCCGGCGCAACGATGTTCACGCGTATTCTCCACGGCGCTAGATACGTCGCGAGATTCTTCATCATATGGGTTGTCCCCGCTTTGCTGGCCCCATATATGAAGGCCGAGTTGTCCCGCCCGAACCCGCCGACGCTGCTGACCGTGACCACCTGGCTGCGGATATACTGGCAGCTGGTTCCAGCATTGGCAATGCCGTTGCCATTGCCCTGCGCAACGGGGGAACCTGCCCCAGCACGCACCTTATTTCCCTTGTCCAATAACTCGAGAAAGGCAAACGTCACCATCAGCGTGGCGGTGGTGTTGGTCTCGAACACGGCCGCATAGTCCTCGAAGGACTTTTGGAACCAGTAGTCCCGCACCTTGGCGATGTCCCATTTGGGCGTGGGTCGGGTGTTATGTGCGCCCAAGTTCGGCGTTGAGATGCCGGCGTTGTTGATGAGGAGATTGATGTAGCCATCTTGGGCGGTGATGTGGTCCACGGCGGACTGGAGCTCGGCGTGTGAGGTGATGCTGCACTGGAGAGGATGGATGTTGTTGAATTTCTATCAAGCAAGGCAACAACATCAGTGGACTGTCAAAGAATGTGGTAAGGATGTAAGGAAACGTACGGCTTCTTTGGCAGCTGTCTGTAGGACTTCCAATCGTCGTCCGATTATGTACACCTTGGCTCCGTTGGCTTCGAGGGCCTTAGCCATCATGAGTCCTAGACCTGTGCCACCACCGGTGACGACGGCAATGCAGCCGGTCAGGTCGAAGAGATCCGTCGAGTGGAGCGAGTTCGATGCCATGGTGGACTGGGGGACTTGCTGAGGCGAGAATGTGCTTGGTGTCACCGCTGTCGATGGCTTCTGTCAATAAGTTCTAGATATGACTCTCGCATCCTCGCGTCCAGCACAAGTGTTGCAGCAGCTATTGCAGACGCAGACCTCATGTCGAAAAGATGGGTCTTCGGGGTCCGAGTGTCACTTGATGGATGGACAAGGCAACCCGGCGAGACTCACCGTTTGATGTCGGCAAACAAAGCGTTTCTCCTATTGGTCAAGTATCATAACATTAGGTACTGTGATGGCGGTGTAGTCCTAACACTGTATTGAGGACTCATCTTATGCTTGTCGTGCTAGAATTGTTGAAAGAAATTACACAGATTATTCAGCTAGAAGTAGTATTGTACATGGCAGGAGCATATCAATAGTGGAGAGAGTTCTATTTTATTTCTGAGTGTATTTGCTAAGAATTACTATGGACGAGAAGGGCTAAAGATTACAAAGACAAGATTAAACAGACTCCTCGACAGAATGCACCTTTTCGAAGCTCCAGTCAACTCAAGCGGATCGTCCATGCTGTAGAGCTGTGCACAAAATGCGTTCTCCAGCTAGACGACAATGTAGACAGGCATGCCACGGCTAAACCTGAGTGCTAGCATCACCGTTCGGCTTCATGGTTGTTGCGCCATTGGCAGTTGACGGTCCCTTCCCAGGACCCATTCCGGGTTGCCCTGATCCAGGGCCACCAGGGCCACCAGGGCCACCAGGTCCTCCTGGGCCTCCTTTCTGAGCCTTTACGCTCTTCCACTCCATAAGAGCAGACGCCACAACACACGCGCAGGACGCCGCCAAAGCGACGCGAAACACGTCCATTACCGCGCCATTGTATCCGCTCAAAAATCGTGGCAGGTCCTGGGGGCTCACGCGATCTTGGATACTCGTCACTCCGCTGTCGGTCACGTTGGCGATATCACCCAGGTTGGCAGACAGTTTGTTGCTGTATATGGCCTGGTCCACAGACAGGAACACCGAACCACCCAAGGATTGCGCGAAGAAAATCAAGGAGATACCGATGGGAGCATCTGGGCGAGCGAGGACGGCTTGAGCGGCCAAAGAGGCTTGTTGGATGCCTGGATTATATGTTAGAACCGCCTCGAACTAATGCATGGGCAAAGAAGACGTACTCATTCCGCATCCAACCGCCCAGAGGATCTGGTAGCCGATCCATTTGCCTTCGCTAATGTTGGGGGTGAATGTTGTGAGCAGACCGGCCCCAAGAGACATAAGCACTGATCCGCCAATCATGAATGGCGTGTAGTAGCCGAGTCGATTGATCAGGAAACCAGCTATGAGACTGGCGACCGCCGATGAGATGACGGTGGGTAACATCATGACACCCGAGTGGACTGGCGACGCGGACTTGATGGCCTGAAACCAAATTGGCAGGTAGTAGGTGAACGTCATCATCGCCGCAGTGACCATGAGAGTGAAGACAACTCCGGCTGCGATGCTGCGCTGTTTGATGATCCGGGGAGGAATGGTGGCTTTCTCCTGAAGCCAGATCTGAATCCCAACAAAGGCGAGCAGCAATACTCCTGCCAGAACTAAAAGCGCGATAATGCGTCCATTATTCCAGGCATAGGTCGCCCCTCCCCATTGCAGCGCCAGTAGCAGGCACACCACGCCAGGGATCAGGCATAGATTTCCCAGGGGATCCATCTGCAGAAACTGCTCGCGTACCGGGGTGCCTGCCTTGCGCGCAGGCGGCATCTGGAGCACCAGGATGAGTACCACTATAGTCACTGCGCCAATGGGCAGGTTGATGTAGAAGCACCAGCGCCAGGTAACATGTTCGGTGAAGCCACCACCAATCAGGGGACCTGTGACGGATGCGATGGCGAAGATGACGCTGACAATGCCCGAGTAGATGGGTCGCATGTGCAATGGGACGGTGAAGAAGGTGATGATTACACTGCCACCAAAGATCCCCGACGATCCCAGGCCGGCGATTGCGCGACCAACGATGAGGACTGTCGAATTGGGCGCGGCACCGCAGATAGCAGACCCGATTTCGAAGATGACCACGGCGGTCAAAAACACCCATTTTGGATTGTAGAACGAGTAGATCTTGCCAAAAAGCAGCTGAAACGCGCAAAACGTCAGGAGATATGCGCTACCGTACCAGCCGACATCGTTGATAGAGTCGAACTCGTTCGTGATATGGGGAATGGCGTTTACGATGATGGTGCGATCCTAGTGCGCGACAGTCAACAACCAAGGAAGTTCGACTGAGGAGATGATGCCTACCAGCGCGGTGAGAAAGCCAGCAAGATAAAGGGAGATGATGATCGAGTAGAGTTTGGGACCTGTGGGATACTCGACGGCAGGACCCATGCCAGGTCCAAAGGGTTTTCCACCACCGGGGCCACCTGGAGGGCCTGCAGGACCTGGAGGACCTGGTTTGGATTCGACAACACCTTGAGGTTTTTCTGACGGATGCGCTGATGGTGGTGGCTGCTTCTCCTGTCGCGCGTCCAGGGGCTGCTTTTCCACGGCAGCAGCCATTGTGTCGGAGGTCTCTTCAGTCATTATTGATCCCACATAAACATAAATCACAAAATAAGAGGAAAACGGGTGGTCAAGAATATTAAGAGATTATGGGAAGAAAGAATAACAGAAAGCAAAGGAGATGGCAAACTGATCCCTCCCATAGGGGTTCGTTCGTTCTTGGCTGTGTGCAGGGATGATTGATTCACAAAGAACAGGAAAAACACATAGTCCGGGCGCTGCAGGACAGGTCGGACTTGGGGCTTAGGACCGAGTCGGGCATCAGGCCATGTCCGAACAGGGGTCTCTACCTGGTTTAAGACCCATATGTGAATCCAACAGGCTTTCTGGGCTGTGATTTGTTGTTGGGATGGCTCGAACACTTCAGCTGTCTTTGTGCGGACGGGAGGAGTGTTGGGGCTTTCGCCAAGGCAGAGAAGAGGGGAAAGACAAGACCAGACAAGGCCAGACAAGGCCAGACAAGGCCAGACAAGCATTTACCCCCACCCCCCCTTCCCTTGGAAGTTGGGACAAGACATCCCTATCCAATCTAAGTCAATATTCGGAGTCCGAAGCAAGCAAGACTGGCGGGGCTAGGCAGCATTTGCCCCTTGGGTCCTAGGTTTAGCCAGACTGTCTACCCTCTGCAAGGCGCAAGGTTCCGCCATCAGCGGCTAGACTATGTCCAATGTGGAGAAAGGGGCCGAATCTGAAGTTACTACGGAGTAGGCTCAAGTTACCCGAATTGACCGTCTCGGACTCCAACTAACTTCCGGCCTTGTGCTCTTGTGATGGTGCTAATCTCGTATTGACTCCACCAGGGGACAGGGGCTGTGTTTCACTGCAGGGGGGGGTTAGGGTTTGGGAACTCAAATAAACATAACATATCAGAGGAATGTCATTGCTGGAATAGAGGGGGCATCTGAAAATCAGCCTCCGAGTAACTTTAAATCCTTTGGATCAGCACAGTCATAACGCTATTTAGACCATTATCCAAAGCCTGCCTCTAATCAGAAGAATGCTTGCTGTGTGTACACGTCATCATATCAGATGAATGAATATGTAGGCATATGGCGTGATAGCGTGCTGCCTTATGTGCTAGTGGACAATCACTGAGACCCTACAGTCATTAGTGTGGCCTTAGCCCAATACTTGCTGGAATGTACCTTCATGCCCCCAAAATGCAGCGTGCTATACAGGTCAAGATGTAACTCTGTAGGTTTTGGATAAGCACTAGGCGCTCAAGCCTTGAAATATGCGAACAAACTGGACCTGTACTGGTTCGCCATGCAAGGGGGTGGTATCCCGGCCAATGACATGTGAATCACTGCTCCAACAGATGTACTATGGGCTGCCTCGCTTGCGATAGGGCTTCTTCCTGATTTTGAGCGGCCACGTTCTAGACAATACAATGCCTGACTCACCATAGGCCATTCATCATTGGAATGCGTCTATATGCCGCACCTGGGTTACGTTATCAGATCGCTAGAGTCCACTAGGCAACCCGGATGCATCAGGCTAAATCCTTCAGCGCAGCGCTAGATGAAGCCACCCCTGTAGATAAGCCTCGTACAAAAGCGAAATGGGGCCATAAATCTATCGATCAGCTTATAATTGACTGAGCACCTGCACAGCTCAAAGAGTCCACTCTCTGAGCACCGCGGAGAATGTGAGATAGCAGAGATCCACGAAAAAGAAGTATAGTAACCGGCAGATGAAAAGCATCTGCACCCCCAATGGCAGAGTCTACCGGTTCAACACCCCAGAAAGACCAGCCGCAGGTCAAGTTACGATCGGCCTGCGACCGGTGCTCATCCAACAAAGTCAAGTGTAGTCAGGAAAGACCAGAGTGTCAGCGATGTCGTTCGCTCAATCTACCCTGCCACTACAGTCGGTCATTGCGGATGGGGAAGCCTCCTCGATCTCGGCAGCGATCCATTAGAGCTTGCTGCCATCATGACCATCGCGAGAATTCGGCCAGTCTCGAACATTATAAGCCGGCCGCTGCTGCTGCTGCTGCTGCTGCCACAACAGACGCTGCTGCCATTCCCAAGTCCATGCTCAGCGATCCATTGCCCTCGCGAGACAACGAGGTGATGGGCACACTGGTGCATAGCTGGCCGGACGAGTTCGACTATCAGTCGATGCTGAATGGTGTCGATCCCTCTCTCCAGCCACTCTCCCCGGACCTTTCCGACATACTGGGAGACCCGACAGCCATAGCGCCAGGTCACAGTCACCCGCGGTTATCAGACGGCCCCGGCACCCTGTCTGATTTGTCAAAGCAACAAGCCGAGTCGATGTCCAAGATGCTGCAATCCACACTCCACAATGCAATGTACGAAAGGCTAACTCCAGTCAGCCTCACTGGGTTCACCTTCCCCGCCACAGGAATGAACTCGGACAATCAGCATGTTATTGAACCCGCGGTCTCCACGGGTCCGAGTCCCCCATCCCCGTCCGACCATCAGTGTGTCCGCCGGGCCATGGAGACTCTGGACTGTCTGTATCGAGTCTGCTCCTCAGCCAACTCATCTGATGCTGGCTTCGGCAAGCCAAGCGTCGATGACATCCTCCAGGTTAACGGCGAGGCGATGGAGGCCGCCGCGACCCTCCTGGCATGTCCGTGCACCAAGGACTTCTGCCTCCTCATCATTCTCGCCATAATCCCGTGCAAGGTGCTTGCCGGGTACCAGGCCGTTGTCAACATGCGCGACCCACATATTCAGGTCCCAGCAGGCGAGGCAACTATCTGTCGTCCGATTGCCGTCGGAGCCTATACCCTAGATGAACACGCTAGCCGCATGGTGATCATCCAGGTAGTTCTCGCCAAGCTGCGCGAGGTGAGCAGGTTCGTCCAGACCTATATCGACACATTCTGCTTCGATGCTAGCAAGAACCGCCAGGGTCACTGTGGACTGGTATACCGGACCCTGGGGTTGTTTATCCAAAGCCGGCTAGGTACCACCACGGACGGGCTGCGGGAGAGACTGTCAGCCTTGGTGGGAGACGGGAGATCTGAATTCAAAGGAGAATCATGCCGGTATGGGTAATTTGTCCCTGGTTGTTGAAGAGGTGTGTGGTATGCCCGGTGATTGATTCTGGCGTTGGAATGAAGTCGATTTTTATATTTTCCACCGTCCGGAATTGAAATGTGATGATACCTAGTGAGGGCATTGTGCGAGGATTATAATGAACATGATCTATCCCTCTTATGACCTATGGCTAGCCCAATATATGCATCCAGTGTCCTGTCCCTTGCCTAGTGGAGTAGTTGCTACACAGTCTGTTGATCGTCGGTGAAAAGCTCATCCATCCAGCGCAGCACAATAAAGTTCTGCATCTTGCAAAAGATTGGGTCTCTCCTAGCTCACTAGAGGTTACATACATCTATTCACTCCACTAATCTCACTTGAGGCTTGGCCTAGAACCAAGACAGGCAGGCTAAGACTAGGGTATCCTTTGCTATCTCTCAACCATGTTGCCGTCTAAACCGGGAGAACTCATGGTTTGTCCAATTGGCATATCCTACCAAGCCAGGGCTACATGTCAGGTGTCGTCATACGGAAGATTATGGCAAATCGGCTCGAGAGATCATCGGGGACCGTAAATCTGCTCTAGCAGGAGAGTGTGAGATACGGGCGTCGTGAATTAAGACGTTGTCTTCGGTCCCCGACCCCCGACTCGGCCCTGAGGAAACCATTAGTGTCTATTCGTTCCCTGGCTTCCAGGGCTACCGCGGATCTGTGTCTATCTCTGAATCAAGTTAGTGCTGAAAGGCACAGCAGGTAGTGTACCAACCCCCATTCAGACGTCCCCACGTTCGAAGCGAGATGATATAGTATGGCAGATGGGACTGTTCGAGAAGGAGAGGGCACAGAATGCTTAATAGACATAATGCATTGAAAGAATCAACCCCAGTATTAAATTCAGCTTATTTTCCTCGGCTACCTCTGCATGCCTGAGGGCCTCCTTCTACTTTGTATCAGGTTGACCAACAAACTTGCACAGGCCCAGCATGGCGCAACATCATCGAATTTACTTGTTTGGAGATCAAACATATGATGTCGATGCTCCCTTGCGGGAGCTCTTACACCATTCAGACCCAATATTGACGTCTTTCTTCGAAAGGGCCTTGCAGGTTCTGCGCCACGAGGTCGGTCAGCTACCCAGTGAGCTCCGTCATGAATTCCCTCGATTCTCCAGTATAGCCGACTTGATCTCGCGGCGCCGGGACACTCGACTTCATCCTAGTCTTGAAATGGCTCTGGTCCTAATCTATCAGTTGGGGTCCTTCATTCGGTGAGTTCACTTCATTGCCCGTCCACCAGGTTCGTACTTACGTCAAACAGGATTCATTCAGAAGGGGGACTGGAGTACCCTACGGCTTCTGATACTCACCTGTTAGGTCTCTGTACTGGGGCCTTTGCTGCTGCGGCAGTTAGTTGCTCACGCTCCTTGGTCGAACTGCTTCCAGTCGCCGTACAAACGGTACTGGTCGCTTTCCGAACCGGTCTGTCTGCCGGCAGAATTGGAAACTGTATTGAGCCAAGTGCAACCGGCTCCCGAGAATGGTCGATGCTGGTTGCTGGAATGGACAGTCAGACGGTCCAAGATGCTTTAGCAGAATTCTCTGCCACGAAGGTAAGTACTTCTGATATGGGCTCGGAACCCCAAGTGTGTTGACCTATGTGATAGTCCCTCCCTCGCATGTCTCGGCCTTATATCAGCGCATACGCTCCCAATGGTTTGACTGTCAGCGGCCCTCCTTCGATCCTGGGTGAGCTGCGCCAATCGTCCGTATTCGCGCGTGTAGCCTGCAAATCGATCCCGATACATGCGCCCTATCATGCTCCCTTGCTTTTCGCCAAGGACGACATTGACGAAATTGTCGACTCCACGATCAACGGCAACTGGGCATCCTATATTGTCCAACTGCCTGTGATATCAAGTGCCACCGGGCGCTTGATATGGGCTGGCAACTTTCGTGCTCTGGTGCAGTCTGCAATTGAAGACGT